CCAGCGCCCGAAAAGAAAAATCCCCCCAAAAAAAAAAAAAAAAATCTCATAGGAGAATGGAGGAGAAGGGATTGCGGTGTGGCCATGCCCCTCTGGGAGGTGATTTCTTGCTTTCTCTCTGTGTGTGTGTGTGTCTCTCTCTCTGGCAAGCCCACTTTGCCCTACAGCAAAAACCTAAACCAAAACAAACAATAAAACAGCAAGCCATCTAACTATATATGAAAATGCTCCTCTAGTCATTCTGTTGTTATCTTTTCTTTCGAGTCTTTGCAGAGATGATAGTGTTAAATTTGCAGTTAAACTCTTGAAGAAATTATGCGAATAGCCTGTACTGATGACATGAAAGTTATTAATCAATATAGTCATAGCTTCCATAATAGCAGCATGTTGGAATTTTTTGGTTCTCTTAAACATACTGTAGAACTTCTGACATGAGTCTTTATTTTATTCAGGATAAATTTTAGGATGTATTTATTGCTTGAGAAATATATCATCTCGTACAACTTTTCTCACAAAGCTGGAATAAGTCCAATAATGTAGTGAAAGCGTTTTTACTTTTGAGTTACTGCCTTAGTATACGCTAATATAATTTCAATAAAGATTTTAAAAGGTCAGATAGCATTTTCAGTTGTTGGCAATTTTCCCCTAACGTCATTCTTTCTATTTTTTGCCTTCCTCTTCTTAATCACTTTTATTCAGGCAGGAGGTTAAAATGGCATAAGTAACTGTTGTTGCAAAATGTATTCTCATCTTACCTACGACTACAGATTCTTTTACAATCAGTGGACTCGCAGACTTCACGCTCCTTAATGCATAGTATAATTTGCAATGATCGTTTTGATGTCTAATCATATCACTCCCTAACTCTCTCTTTTCTTGTACAGCTATTAAAATAAGTCACAATGATCTTGAGGCAAGAGTAATAGGCACAGCTGTCATGGATTTAAACAGAAGAGGTTTTTATACCATAACTATATCTTCATTACGTTTGTAGTATTGAAAACATAACACTGCATTTACATGTATTATGTAGTTTTCTGAGCCCCTGACTTCCGGCCTCACTGTTCGGTAGAGAGGTAAGGGCGGATAGGAGCATGTGCTGGGGCTGAACCTCTTTGCTCAGGTCAGTCAGGGAAGAACCCAGGTCCAGACCCAGGTCCAGACCGGAGGGACACACTAGGAGCATGTCAAGGGAGATGGTAGGACTTCCCTCCCAGTCCTGCGCGCAGCAGTTAATTATGAATTTACCGTTAGTTATGGGAGCACACAATACACACTTTGCTCTTCTGCTTGTGTCATGACTCTTTTGGAAGTGTCTCTATCAAAGAGGTGAGTACCCTTAGCTTTACATTTAATGCATATTCAAAGTAAGTCATTTGAATTCTGAAATAAAACAAGCATAATTAGGGGGAAAAAAAGTGTTACTTAAAACATGCCGAAGCATCAGTGTCCAAGTTTAAAGCAGTGTGACCTGAGTAACTTTCTGTAATGACCTCCAGCAGCTCACTACGAAGGCGTTTTTGTACATTAGTATTTTTTTACCTTTAAAGTTTCATTGAGTGGAGTTCCTGATCATTCTTTCCCTCTGCTTCCTTCACTTGGGTGGTTGGTGAGTTCAGTGTGTGTTGCAGTTAAGGTGTTATGCTGGGGCTAATCTCTGTAAAATGCTAGCATTTGTTCTTCCTTTTCCCTATCATCAATCTTTCACACTCATCTCAAACCCCTAATGTATCAGCAGGTTTCCCAGAACTACTGGTTAAAATTACCTTTGCTTTTGGTAAACTCTGAACCTTCAAGCCTCAGTGTTTTCAGCTGCCCCTGTGGATTCCGCGGAGGCTCTCCCCGCACATTCCTCACTGCCAGTCACTTGCTTTACGTCCGGAAACCGGGCGCCCGTTTATTATGCCAGCTACACCTTCCATCCTTCCTGAGATGGAGAGAGCCTGTAAATACTGCCAATAATTGGTGTCGCTTATGCAGACCGCAAGTGGAAGCAGTTAGAACTCCCAAAGCTAGACAGCTTGAGTTTATTTTGTGCAATTGTTGATAAAAATTCTTGAAAACTGAATTATTTTCTACGGGTTTCTTTGCTTTTTTGACACTCCAGACATTGGCAGATTTACCTGTTTGTGTTCCAAAATAAAAGCTGCAATTCAATCATTTACATCTTAAAGCTGATCTCATTCATTTCACACCCAAAGCATTCATTTTTTATTTAAATTTGCATCTCGTTTGCATACTTTTTTTTCTTTTTCACTTTTCTCTTTCACTTTGATGAGTGCTTCCCTTTCATTCATTCTGTCTCGGATTAGCCATTATGTAGTGAAAACAGATCCCGGTACAGGTAGGGTTTCTTGGATACGCAATTCATGATGTTTTCACCTTCAGCACAGTGTCATTTCCACAGACAGCTACTAGGTTATAACTTCATTCTTTCGGAAAACTGACCCCTACCTCTGAAGATAGTGCTTTGATAATTGGTGGGACTTTTTCTGTTGCTTCTTACTAAAGACCCCTCTTCAGTATTATGAATAAGGCTCATTAAGGTCTACAGTAAATTCCTGGGGAGTTTTGGAAATTAATAGAAAAAGGAGAATGCGCGTTTCTCCATGAGTAGCAGTGTGCTTTCAGTAGCTCTTGCCTCAGGTAAATAAGATTCCTAAATGTTGTCCTCAGACTTTGATTTTTCTATCTGGCAAAAAGCTTTAGGCTAATGCTAATGAAATAATAGCCATCTAAGGTTAAGATGAAAGATGTTCACTTTGAAAGTCACTTAAATGTTTTTACACCCCAAAATGTAAGGTATATACCTTTGTTTACTTTAAGCATGATTGAATAGAGAAGAAAGAGCATTTTCTAAAATGCTTATAGAAGAAAAGAGAAAAAAGCATTACCACATCTGAACAAGCAACCCCAAATTAGCTGGAGATCACGTCTCTGAAAAGGTCTCAGTTGTAGCAGTAACTGACATTTTTCCAGCCATGTTGGCATCCTTTCATCTATGTCGTTATGTAACTCTCTGATTTACAAAAGTCTGTTCTATTAGTTCTAAAATGGGAGTAACTAAGGCACCAAATGTTGCCGGTTCTATCATTTGTTAAGAACTATAGTTACTTCTGTAAAAGCTAAAAGTATGATTCATTTATATGTACACTACTTAATTGTGACATGATATTGTTTTTTAAATTATTATATTATCATGAATAATTATTTGGGATATACAAGACATGTTTTTTTAAAAAATAAAGAAATAAAGCCAACAGAAATAACATAACTAGGTTTTCTTGTTAGATTTATTTTTTTCCTTTTGCCTTTAGATTCTCCCTAGATTCTCTCTGGATTGATCAAAAGGAAATGAAGTTTAACCCACCACCCTCTTTTTAATAGAGCCTAGATGTTAACGTGTTGTTTAATGGTCAAGATGTAAAGAAGAAAGTAAAAAGTTTTGCGTATTCTCACAATTTTCTGATCCTAATGAATTATTTCAGTGACATTTTCAATCCAAAATTCTGTAATTTCTTATCACAGCTGCATCATCTTTATACTTCTTTTTATTTTTTAATTTTTTTTTTTTTGCAGTGGGTACACCTTATTACATGTCTCCAGAGCGAATACATGAAAATGGATACAACTTCAAATCTGACATCTGGTCTCTTGGCTGTCTTCTGTATGAGGTAGGTAATGCTGATAAATTTCATGTTATTGATACATTTCTACTTACTACATTTCTCTTATCCTTATAGTATATACTTATTTTTCTCTGGGTGATGTTTAAAAATCAGCCTTTTAATTATGAAGAATTAATTCATTGGGTTAGTAACTATTTTTACAGTAGAACTTAATAACTGTACATTTCTATGTATTTATTTCCTCTAATATAACTGTCCTTTTGATGAGTATTTTATTTTTTTAAGTGTTAACTTCTATTAATATAAAGCTTCTCTACATTTCTTGCACTTACAGAAGTATGTATTTGGACGTGTATAAAAAACTTGCTTTTCCATGCATTGTAAGGAGAAGTATGATGGAATGGACTTAAAACAGGAATTATCATAAATATTTCTATCAATATTTTGTTTCACTTTTTACATAGGTACAATTCAACTGTAAGGGTAGTTAATATGTCAATAGATAATTCTTTTATCTGTTTTCCACGATTAACCATTTGAATTGGTAAAGCTCAGTGAAATACTCTTCTGTTCTGATGATAATTTATGGATCCTGTAGGTAGAGGCTCTGGAAATACTGCAATGTAATAATTCGGATGGATGGAAGAAAGCATATTATCAACACATTTTATGTCAATGTTATGGATAGTGGTTATCAAAGAGCATCTCAAACTAGTGACTTCTGTAATTTTATTTTTTAATTAAATGATAATTTTCCAAAGACTATAGGCTTTGAGTCAGAGCTATTAACTTAAAATTAGTCTACATCTAAGTAGCCTTTAATAAAGTAAAGAAACATAATATATGGGATCATTTTCATGTCTTGATGTGTGTAAAAGAGATCTAAAGTGAATGGGTGGAAACCAATGTGTTTCTAACTCCGTATTTTGTGTCTCTTGCCCTCCTGACTTAAATACATAATGAGGCCCTTCGTTTTAATCGTACTGCCATTGCGTAGGGGTGGAGCATCAGGAGGTTTTGTTTGATTTTTTTAAGGATATATCATCTTTTATTATTATATTTTACTGATTGTAGATTTAAATTTCATTAATTTAAAAAACCTAAAATTACTTGCTTTGTTCTTCCTACTAAAGTGACTACTTAAAGTGAAAGGATTTTTAAATGTTCTTAAATAAACTCATCCCTGGGATACTTTTTATTATGAAAAATTAAACAGGGATATAACAAAATATGTTTTATATATGTACATGAGATGACGAGAATTATGCTTACTATATTACATTCTGCTAATAATTCGATACAACGTTGAAAAGAACTAGTTTGATTATATTAAGTTACTGTAATGTTTGAAAGTTAGTCACATTGTACATGTCAAATATATTTAATTTGGTAGCCTTAGATGTCCTCAAGTCATAGTCTGATATTATGAAAGCAACATTTCCCATTAAATACCTAAAAGTAAATAGCAAATTGGTTTCCAGTAATGAGATTAAATTTAGCAATGAAAAAGAAAAACTGCTATGAAGGCAATCAGTGTTATTTGGGGAGAATTCACATAATTCTTCTAGGACTTGCAGACTCTCATATGTCAAAACTGCAGTCGTTTATCACATTCTGAATTTGCCTTTGAGAGGTAGTCTCTCATTTTTATGTGTACTTAAAATAATCACCGAAATAAAAATTATTTTTTGGGCACTACTACGTACATGGGTTCTCTGCGTTGTACCCACAAGGTACAGTATTTATCATGCTAGCATTCGTTTTCATCTCAATCCATTTTTCTCGATTACTCCATTCAAGTCTTTTGGAAGAACTGGAATTTCCCAAATCTTTAATTTACCTTTATGTTCTGTCTCCTTTCAGTTACATTTCAATATAATGTTAATAGAAATACCCAGCAATTTAGCTTTAAAAAAAAAATTGGCCATAACATCACATAGCTATTTTACATTGTATCCCACTAAGGAATTATTATTAACTATGAGGAAGTAGGAAGCCTTTTTTGAAAATGTATTTTAAACTCAGAAAATTAGACTTTCAAATATTCCTGAAACCTCAAAAAAAAAAAAAAAACCTAGCAGTACAGTTTTAATTGATATGCAACAAAGTAGACTTTACTAATTAAAATCAAGATGCTGTGCTTTTGCTACATGGACCTTTACATGGAAAAGTAGGTTTTACACATTTCCTTTATTGTTCGGTGCAGCAATTGCATCCTTGCAGGGTTGGAGGTTGGTGGCTTACAGTTCAAAAAAAAAGAGAGCTGCCACCAGCCCCGAAGACAGACAGTGGGCTTTCGTCCCTCCGACACCCCCAGAATACTAATCAGGAAAGTCAGACCCTGGAGGTCAGGGAGCAAGTCAATCATTCTAGCGATCGTCTCAGTGTGGAGGATCAAATTAGCCTGAAAAATTCAGCTGCTGGGAGGAGAGGGCGAGCAGCTGTCAGGGGCAGCATCGAGATGCACTAATGAACCAGATGAATAGTGCAAAAGCTTGAAAATAAAAACAGGACAGTTGACATTTTTCATCTGTCAAAGCAGGAGATGCATGAAAATATACTATTCCTGTTTAACTCCTTAGGGGACATTCAGATTTTTTTTTTTAACACTCTGCAGTATTGAGACAAAAGTACTATAATGAACTCCTAGCATATGATAATGAATATATGTACATCAACTTAGGGTTTTGCAAACATAGAGCAACTACTGTTTATATGTACTATGTATTTTTAAGGTGGCATTTTTAATACTCTATTATAAAATGTCCTTGTATTTTAAACACAAACCATGATTATTATTATTATTATTGTAGTTCCTCTATTAGAAATGTCCTCTCAGATGGAGTGTTTTATTTAGAGGCATTCAAATCTGGGTTTCTTTTTTTTTTTTTTTTTTTTTGGCTTTTTCTCTTCATTATTTATAAGGTGGTTCTGTAGCTGTTTTTGTAGGTTTTCTATAAAATGTAGGCGAGGTTGAAATTTGTCAGGCTACTTTCTGGGTTGGATTTCCAGTCCTATCCCTTCCCCGTTAAGGCCCTGAAGGAGTTAAAGCTCTGTCTGGAGCACAGAAGACAGATGAGAGCCATTTTCAGCTTGTCCTGTCCCCGCTGACGCTCACTGAGTAGCACAGCATGGACCAGCGTGTTTCACACACACTCTGCCTGTCTGGGGAATGTACACATTGTCCTTCCAAAATCAAACTTATTAGCACATGTAGAAAAGGGTGACTGACTTTGGGGCAGCCTGGCACTCCGTGTTGTATTCTCGTTGCTGCGGTTCAAAGATTTAGAAGGTTTTGAACAGGATGCGAACATTTTAAATTGAATTTTTAGTTTGTAACCCTGCTTACCACAGTACTTACTTGCACTTTAAATGTCAAGTTAGAGTCTCGTCTTAAAATGAATTTAAATTCAATAATGTCTTTTTTTTTTTCAGACTTTCTCATCCTCTGACTTGTGTTTTTCTGCATAAAATTCTCATTTGGAGGCCCTTGAATTGCAGCTATGATTCGTTGAGCCTTTGAACAGCTTTAGTGTTTTGGAGATGTTATCAAAAGAAAAGGAGTTCTATTTCATTATAAACGATTTGAGGATCAGATATAATATCCAGTTGGAAAGACTTTTTTTCTTATGATAACCTTCCTCTATAGAAATTATTATGCAGGATAAAATGTGGTACATTCTATTCTCTAAACCATTGCTAGGTTATAGGTTTTTTAGCTTCAATTTTGTGTTTTATTTGAACCGTTACATGAGTGGTGTCTGTTTTATTATTTGCTAGTATTTTTAATGGCATTCTATTTATAGAGTTTTAAAGTTCTTAACTTTTTTTAAATACTTTTTAATGTTTCATGTATGCAACATATATGTGTGTGTCTATATATATATGTGTGTGTGTATGTATGTATAAGAAATATGCTAATGATTTATTTTAGGAAATTCTAAATATGGAGAAAAATAACCAAAAGTTAAAATGAGTTTTAGCGCCTACTGAAAAATTATTGGAAAGAGACATTCGTAAAATCGTAGTGCTCAGATAACTATATTTAAAGTATTTGTAATTATTTTCCACCCCAGTGGAATATACTCAATGAAATCATCTTTAAGGTTACCATGTAACTATATCAGTTTCATTGGGAGCATTTTACAGATGGCTGCATTACAGAGTCCTTTCTACGGCGACAAGATGAATCTATACTCTCTGTGTAAGAAGATAGAACAGTGTGACTACCCGCCTCTTCCTTCAGATCACTATTCAGAGGAAGTAAGTCATTTACAGTCCATGCGTTCAGCTGTTATTCGTATTGCTAATGTTTCTATTTTACTAGGAAATTTTCCTTTCTGCAGAAATACAAGTGAGTAGTAGAGGTGGCAGAGACAGCTCTCTTCATGCTGTTTTCATTCTCTTGGACACTTGCTGTTTAAAGAGTTGACTCTGCAATTCTCCATGCAGAGTGGAACACAACACAGCATGTGGTGTAAAATTGGCCACTTCCTAGGTGTGATAAGAATAGTAGCTGACTTTACAGTGCACTCAACGCAGCCAAAGGCAGAATTAATGCTAGACCCAGGCTTAAGTTCATGCACATGTCCAGTGGCCCCTCTTAATTGGGCTGACTCCTCACTCTGCAGGATCTCAGACCATCAAGCCATGTAACTTTCTATCTTGGCGCGACTTCCCTCTCATCCATGTTTTCTAAGAGTTGAAACTTACATCTCTTAGCTTTGCGTCTCAGAACCTTATTCCTTAAGCTTTACCTTGCCTTCTTTGACGACGTCTGTTCTGTCACCACTCAACTGCTGCAGTCAGGTTCCTTGGAGGGAACGTTTTGAGGTTATTATCATAGATATGTTAAAAGAGTACATTGGATACAATTGAAAATTTTAGAAGACTTCACCCTAGTAAGACCTGAGTCTGGGGACCAGCAAATGGTGTTAGGGTTAGGTTGCTGGACTCCCACGTGGTTCCAGTTCCAGACCAGGTGACTTAAAATTCATTCTGAGCACGTGTGTGCCTGAGATCCAAAGAGGAGAATGGATGAGAAGAGATTGCAGCATGGCCATACCCCCAGAGGGTGATTTCTTGCTCTCTGTCTCTCTGTATCTCTTGTCTCTCTCTCTAGCAAGTGCACACGCCCTATAGCAAAATTCTCTTATAAAAACAAAAATAAATAAATAAAAAACAACCTGAGTCTGAAACCCTGATTGCTTTAGTAACCCATAGAAATAAGTTGTTTTGGTTCTACCCAACATCCAGATTTCCAGTGAACAAAACAATCTCCCATGTCAGCCTAATGCATGGTGATGTTGCCAGTGTATAAGGAGGAGGTGTGCAGAGAAGTGTCTCAGGTCAACTGAGATGTGTTCCTCTAAGCTCTTTTTGCCAGGCTCATTGGGGACCTCCCCAAAGAAAACACCGCCTTGAGTCAGGGCAGCTCAGCTTCTCATGAACAACAGATTTTTTGCCCCAGGAAAATGGAAAGGAGCAAAGAAAAAATATAAAACAATTATAATGCTCACTTATTAGATAGTCTTGTCAGTCTTTCTATTGTGGAATGAACAGCATTCAGTCTTCGTATTATGTAAGGAGATTTAAGTCTGTGTAACTTGAATAATAAATATCTCTAAAGAATTTTCACCATATGGAAAGCATTTGTGTCTCTAGGACGTAATAAGTACTTTTTCTTCTAGTAGTTTTGATACTGATAATCAATGATGTCTGGATTTTTTGCTTTATAGCATTTGCATTCAGGTAATTAGAATAAGCTCTTACAAGGCAGTGATGATCATTTAGAAGTATGATCTTTATTTGATGTTAATGCTATTATGTTAGCCATTTTTAATTACTATTTTGGGTAGAGTCTATAAATATGGCATTTCACAAAACCAACTTCAGAACTGTAGGCCTGGAAATACAGTAGGGTGTGAACAATAATGCAAAACGATAGCAATGGTGTCAGGGGCCCTTCTTTGTTGTGTCATTCATGCTGTCTTCTTTTTTCCATGAAGCGCATGAATATTTCACATATCTGCATCCTCATCCCCTATTCTTCTTGACTAATTTTCAGACTGTCTGAATTTGCATTTCACATGGTAGCTGATTAGGAGATGCCGAGTGCAGCAGTGAAGCCTCAGCAGGCGGTTACCATGGTGACATTAAGCAGCCGTTTACCATGGTGACCTTCCGCAGGATTTTAATGATGATACCACTAGTGGTTCGTTGAAGTCGGCCTGCCTGCAGGGCTACTTCACTGCAGCTAGGTGTGAAGTTGGATATGCGGATTCTCAGCCAAGGGGCAAATATCAAAGTCTGGCCCAGATAGAAGGTCTTCGAGTTGGGAAAGGAAAATAGATTCTACTTTTTACTTCACTCTATCTAGTTCTCAGGTTGGAAAAGAGCTATAAAGCAAAGCACGTTGTATGGTGTACTTTTCCAAAAAAGACAGTGCAGTTCCTCAGAGTGGCGAAATCTGTTGTCATGCCTTGATGAAATAGAAAGCTATCTTATCTCAGTACACATGGAAACTAATTCTTACCAAAGAAATGCATATGAGAAATATGAAGACTATATAACAGTGTTACTTTAATCTGCTCAGTTATGTACAAGAGTTCTCAGAACAAAAGCTTTGAAATGCAAATGGGCTAATAAATATTTTCTCTCCTTAAGTAGGAAAAAAAAGTAAGAAAAGGAAAACAAACAAAAACCTGAACAGATTTGGTGTTGCCATAATGATAAAAAAGGATCTTTAGATTTTTTTTTAAATCCAAATTGCTATTTAATTTGTTTTAATATGGCACCAAATAGGAAGCAGTGGAAAAATGAAGTATAAAGCTTTTCAGTATACTTTCTTTCGTAATTAAAAGACTTCAGGAAGTGTCAGTTCTATAGCCAAAATGGTAACAGACTCTGTAGCTATTTGAGAAATATAAATTTTAAGCAAATTAATTTACCAGATACCTGTTTGAGAGTCTTCCAGATTTGATTAGCTACTGGGAGGTTTTGGAGGTTACCTCTGAGGGAATATTTCAGTACTACCTTTGCCTACCAGCTGGCCTCTGTCACTGAGAATCCCAAGGAGCCCTCCAGGAGTTATTTCTAGACAGTCATTGCATTTGGAGGAACTCAGTTTTAAATTTTTTTTTTTATTTCCCATGTTATATTCTAAATCATAGCTACAGATAATCATTTAAAACCAAGAATGAGAAGTAGTATACTTTGGAAAAACAAGCTTGTTCTTGGTCAAACCTTTCCTTTTGAGTTGTGCTGTTGTTAATTTTGTACAATTGATTATAGTTTCAGATTGAAATAGTTCAGCCACACATGAGTGATAGGAAATGTATACTTCGTGACTTACACAAATATTTTTGACATTTTTTGGCTGTCTCTTTCCATTTCTAGTAATGATCTCATTCCTGCACTTGTGGGGAATTGCTGTATTTAGCAAAAATCTTGAGTTAAAAAGATAAGATATTTCCAATTAGATGTCTCTTAGTTTAACCTAACCTTGGTATGTTGGTGACAGGTAGCAAACATTTATTGAACATTTACTTCATACAGAGAATTATGATTCAGAAGGCCCGCCATCATTTGACCTGGGCTTATCCCTCAAGGGTTACTGATAACAGGACACTCTCTGTCCCTAACTATCAAAGCAAATTCTCCAAGAAGTTGCATGAATTTCCATTCTTCACTGGTTCCTTTTCCTCTTTCTGAAATACTTGCCCTGTTTATTTATTTATTTTTAATTGCCAGAGGGTGCATGCACTTGCCAGAGAGAGACAGAGAAAGTGAGAGACGGCTCACCTTCCAGTGAGCCCTGGTCATGTCATAATCCCTTTTCCTCCATTTTTCCTTCTTGTCTAGATTTGGGCATGCATGCACATGGCACCCAGTGTACTTTTAAGCTTCTAGGCCAGGGCTCGAGCCATTGTTCTCCAAGTAGGGCTTGGCTCTCTTAACCACGAGTCCACTGTTTTTACTAGACAAGTTCCTTCTCTCCTTTAAAAGCTGGCATGAACACCATCGGCCTGTGGCTCTCCGTGGCTGCCTTTCCTCTCTCCTGTGGCCCCTGCCCTTGCAGCCGCTCTGTGGCAGTCACTTCTGTGTACCTGACTGGCAACCTCCTGCTCCTGGAGAGCAGCAGCCCTGCTTTTCATCTGTCTCTCTCCAGGTCCTGATGCATCTAAAAAGGGTTGAGAATTGACTGACCAATGGAGGGAACAAGGTGATGAAGGAGTAAGATTAAAGGAATATGTTTTTGAAAGGAATGGGCAGACCACTAAATGACAGTCGAATGAGTGATAGATACTTCCTCAAAGAACTCTCCACCTTGTAAGGTAGAAAATTACTCAAAAGATCAGTCAGAAGATATGATCATTTTCTTTAATTGGTAGTGCTTTCTACATCGATTTTTAAAAAATTCTTTTACATGAACATTGTTTTGAACATGTTCAGCATCCATATCCTGGGAAATCAGAGAAATAGAGTACTTCCCTTCAGTTTCAGGATTTCATTTCTTTAAGAGACACTGGAGTAGTTATCAAAATTACGCATTTGTTTACTAAGGGATCTCATGAGACTCTAAGTAAGAAAAAGTAGGGACTAGTTATATTGATAATTATTTAGAAAATTATAAAAATGGGACTAGATAATGAGTTAATTCTTCTTAATTGATAGATTACCTTTAAAAATCTGGACCATTTCATATAAATGTTGTCTCTTCAAAAATGTATTATTTATTATTAAAACTTGCTAGTTTCAGGGACCAGCAGGTGGCATGGTGGTTAAGGTGCTGGGCACTCCCACAGGGCCAACCACAGTTTCAAGTCCCAGACCTGGTGGCTTGCTTTCTCACTTTCCTTCTCTCTCTGTATGTGTCTCTTTCTGTTCAAATTAAAAGTAATTAATTAATTAATTAAATAACTAAAACTTCCTATTTAAATAGAGAAGACACAGGAAAGGTTGAATTAAAATGTTTGTCCCAGTGGCTACTTCTGACAGATTTCATTTTAGGTTTGAACATATAGGTTTAGAACAAATTTCTGTAAAATAGAATATAGGGTTTGCAGATGATGAAAGTGTTAAAAATGGAAACAAAGGAGGGGGGATAAAGGTGATCTTGGTTTGTGAAAAGAGATCAGGGAGAAATTAAATTGAAGTCTTAAAAATAGTACTTTGAGTGAAAAAAAATGTAAGCACCTATAAAACATCAGAATAATGGTTAAAACCTTTTTAATAAAGTAAGCTATGTTATAACAGTGCTT